TGTTAAAGTCCTGTTAAACAGCATTCTAGAAACAGAAAATGGTCATTGGTTACCTATTCTACCTCCATCCCCTACATTCTCCCATCCCCGCAGGGTAAGAGCGCATTAGTTTAACCAAAGGATGAGCATGTTCCTGTCTGCAAACATCTCCAGAGCTTCCTTTGGGTGCTCTTTATCTGGACTAGCAGAACAATAAAGCAGCTACAAACACAGTCTTCCTGCTGCTGCTAGCCCAGTTTCGCCTCAGTATTCATCTAGCTTCAGAACAAGGTGCTGTCTCTCTCGGCATGAGCAAACAAAAATCCATCTTACAGTCTAGGCAGGAGTCAAGCAGGGAATACAAACTTGTCCCACTTCAAAGCACCAGGCGTATCTTTCACTGACTAAACAGCAATTCCAGCAAGAGTGACAATGAGCCTTTCTTCCCTATTATTGTTGGAAACAATCACTAGCTATTTTGCTCATATTAATTAGTTTATATCTAGTAATAGGCAGCCTTGATTAGAAAAATGCTCTTTGTTACCAAATGAATAGAGTACCAAACAAAACCAAAAGCTTTTTTTTTTTAATTGTTGTTTTTCTCTTAGGAAAGGATTGTCAGGCCTTTCACACTTGAACGTGGGTTTATCTTTGCACAGGTCCCTGAATTCACTCTAAAAGAATGCAAGTTGATGTGCCAGACAATACCGGGTGAAGCTGATTGAGTGAACAGCTTATTACTCCTTGCCTAAGGAGATGCTGTATTTAAATTACTTTTACCTTCTCTGAACCTGGGGAAAACTTGATAATAGGAGAGACTACAATGAATACAGGCTTGGGGGCAAGGGCAAATCAGCCTCGGATTAAAATCTGACTGCACAAATTACATGTGAAGAGTTCACATATAATCAAGATGCTCATCATGGGCAAGAGGATCCTGGGAACAAAGTGACCCAATGAGCTGCATCTCTCCGGAAGGGTAAGCTGCCTCTCTCTGTGACTTAACACCCCAGCTTACAGCCAACTCCTTCCGAGAGGGCTTGAGTTCCCCCAACTATCAGAAGCTACTACTGCTCCCAACACATGGTGAGAATCATGGGACTCACTTCCCTGGTTGAGGTTCATTAATTAATTGCTTCAACACAGTTGTTAATAGTCATGGTTTGAACCCAGCTCTAAGACACACGAGCTACACAGGCTTGTTTGAGGTTAACGTTAAATACCTTCATTTGGCTTCCGAGACCCTGCAAAACCTTCTCCAACTTTGTAACCTAACACATCTACCTTTTCTACAACCTTAAGTATGCCGATAAGTATTTAACAATGGGTGCTCAGGAAGGAGGGCCTGTGTCTGCCAATTTCTGTGGTGTAAATATTCCACCCTGGCTGATTTCAGGCTATAAGCATGAAGTCAACTGGCTCACAAAATTCCTTTGAAAGTTGAACAATCAGATCTTATAAGTGGGCAGAGCTGGCTCTAGACATCACTGCTCACAACCTCATACCCCAGTCTACGGCAATCACCCCTGAACTCACATGCAAACACTGTGAGCTCTCGCCTTGGGACATCTGACATTCACACGGGCTGTCTCCTCTCCCTTGGCAGAATAACTCATCCTCATTCACAAGCTCCCAGCCTGGCAGTCTTCCTTTGAGAAGCCTTCCCTGATTCTACACGTCTTTTCTGGTGTTCCACTTTACCCGCAGAGCACCCATACTTCCTGTATCATAGCATTTGTGACACAGCATTCTAATTTTTTGTTTCCCTATCTGTGTATTTCCCACTACATTTATAAACTCTGACAGGGCAAAAGCCTTCTTTATCTTATTTATTCTTGCATCCCCAGGCCTGCCACAGTGCTTGCTGAACAATACTGAGATGTATTGAGCAATATGTCAGATACTGTTCTAAGCTCTACACACATGATCTCATTTCAACCCTAAAACCACCCTATGAAGTTGGCTTTTTCATGATGATGCTCATTTTGCAGATGAGGAAACCAAGGCACTGAGAGAGTGGATACCTTTTCTCCTCTCCCTCAACAGGCTCAGTTACAAAATACTGGAGCCAGGATTTGAACCTAGGCAATGTGACTGAAGAGCCTTGTGTATCCTTCTAGACCAGTGCTTCTTTTTTTTTTTTTCTATTGGTGATGCTCAAGGAGGAAATTTTAATTAAATTCAAATTCTCCCTAAGGAGAAATTAAGGAATAGGACTTCATCAGGCAAGGTTAAGCTCTGGAGGGATTTTTCATCTCCCAAGATCCAATTTTTGCCCTCTTGGGGACAATCTCTTTCCCGTTGACAATGTGTGTTACAGACTTTTCACTATACACATTTACATTAATGTACCATATGTTTATCCCTAAAAACATATGGTCTTGTTTCACAGTTTTAATGATATCTTCCTGTAAGTATCATTCTGCATCTTGCTTTCTTTTCCCTCCACGAGATATCTTGAAGAGACAGAGCTGTGCTGAGATAGACAGATAGCCATCATTTAACTGCAGTATTAAAATCATATCAACATGACCGACTTGATTAAGTCCTTCTACTATTGAATATTAAAAAGTTTTGTACTTCTTGGCCTTCAACGAATGCATCAATGAATATCTTCCTGCACATCTCCTTGGACTCACATGTTTCTAACATAGGTACCAAGATGGGAACAGGGCATGTACAAAGGTCTATAATTTTAACAGATACTGTCAAATTACTTTCCAGAGTGACTGGACCAATGTACTTTCCCACAGAGACTTTACAAGAGTATATATTTCCCCAAGTGTTTATACTAAATATGACCTCTTTCTACCTAGGGCGGTGCTAAACATTTTCATTAAATGAGTCATTTAAAAATATTTATATTACTCACCAGCTGATAGTAGCTTGTGTAAGAGGGAAGATGTGTAGATAAGATGATGCTATTGGAAATGCTGACAAAAGAGAGCAGTGAGAATGGGATGCTGAAACACCCTGTCCAGAAAACCTGTACTAGGGCCTAACTCACTCCACAAAAGGCTAAGAATAGTCATTGCAAGGGAACAGCTGCAGTGGACTTTGAAATTGTGACCTCAGGTAACAGGCAGTAAATCTTTTTACCCATTTACCATGTCTCTCTCAGGCACCGAGAACACTACTGAGGGGAATGGAAACCAAACACCCAAAGTAAATGAGGTGTTGAAAAGACAATGATCCATTTACCAGAAAACAGAAATACACATGATGGTGATAACACTAAACATCCTGGAAAATGATACTACAAACTTTATAATGTTAAGGAACAGCAGCGACTATCCATATGATAAAATTCCAAGGTCTTTCAGAGAAAAAGAAAAGCATTTATAGTAAATAAAGTGGAAATGCTCCTTTCTCCTTTCTCCCTCTCCTTCCTTTCCCTCTGTCCCCTTCTTTACACACACACACACACACACACACACACACACGCCTACCTGAAATATATACAAGGACCTACTGTATAGCACAGGGAACTCTACTCAATATTTTATAATAACCTATAAGGGAAAAGAGTCCGAAAAAAAAAATTATATATACACACATACACGCTCTCTCTATATATATGTATAACTGAATCACTTTGTTGTACACCTGAAGCTAACATAACACTGTAAATCAACTATACTTCAAAAAAAAACAAAAAAAATTAAAAAAAAAAACAATAAAACCCCACCCAGCATAAGAGTACATAGGTCTGTTTCTTCAGATCTTCATTTCCTTATGAAGGCTCCCATATCATATAAAACTTGTATTCAATTAAAAAAAAGAAATATATACAAAATTTAGTAGCCTGCAAAATGATACAAGGAAAAAAAGTATGGAACAATATTTTGTATCATAATGATTCAAATTTCAATCAATATGGCTTTTTCTCAAAGGTGTACTTTTTTCTTCAACCTTGACCTAAAAGTGATTCTCATGAATGCGATCAGAGATCACAGTCCAAAAGGAAGAGACGAAGATAAAGGAAGAGCAAGTGGGAAACCACACTTGTTGAGTACTACATGCTCTGCATAGCTTCTCTCCTTTAATCCCAGAACCATGCTGTGAAAGATGATTACATGAGAAGAAATGGAAGCTGTGGGAGGTCAGCATGACTAAGGCATCTTATCCAGCAATTGAGATGTGAGCACAGGCCTAATGACTCCAAAGTCTGTTTCCCCACTATACCATGCTGCCTGCTGAAACTGAAAGAGTCCAGTTAATACTTGAATAGATCAGATTGTAAAACAGTGAGAACAATGTTCTTGCCATGTGACTGTTCTTCACTTCACTGGACAGAAAAACTCATATTACTGTGGTTCAGAAGTGTCTGGAATTGCATTTTCTTCTCAAAGTTACTAGAACAGGTCAAGACAAAATAATCATCATTACAGGAGGAGGACATCAAGACAACATTCAGAAAACTTGTTGTAAGATTAGATCTGTTCTGGATTTCCCTGGTGGCGCAGTGGTTAAGAATCCACCTGCCAATGCAGGGGATATGGGTTCCATCCCTGGTCTGGGAAGATCCCACATGCTGTGGAGCAACTAAGCCCTGTGCACCACAACTCTAGAGCCCAAGAGCCACAACTACTGAGCCCACGTGCCACAACTACTGAGCCCGCGTGCTGCAACTACTGAAGCCCACACGTCTAGAGCACGTGCTCCGCAACAAGAGAAGTCACCGCAGTGAGAAGCCCGTGCACAGCAATGAAGACCCAACGCAGCCAAAAAAAGAAAAAAGATTAGATCTGTTCCGAAATAAACCCTAAAAAAGCCAACAGCAGGATTTACTATTGACTGTCTTGATTTGGAGTTTGATGCCTACGGTAACAGCCAGACACCCTAGGCACTGAAAACCATAAGCACCTCCCTCACAAAAATACTCTTCAAAATAATCCCCACCAAATGATACTTCGAAGGAGACACATGATCTCCAAAGTCAAACACACTTTCTGAAATTCAATTGAAATACTCAACAAAACTATGATTAGCCCAAACCTATGCAGGTTTGAATCACATACCTGGGGCTGTGAAATGACAGGGGTGGACGTAGAGGCAGCAGCCATGGCAGCTCTGGAGTTGTGGGCGGTGACCAGGCCCCAGCACTAAGGCACCCCACACGGGAGTCAGACTCTTGGGGTTGCTGATCGGATCACGGTCATGCTAGGAGCAACTGTGTACCTGGAAAAGGATAGGAAAACCCACTGTCAGCCTCAGAGGACTAGCATATGTGAGTGAAGTACCTTTGGCCACGGGAAGTGAAAAATCCCCTATACCAAATGCCAACTACCAGCTTAATGAAAAGAGGAACCCGGGAGGGAGCATCTAACATCTCACGGGAGGACTTCATCCAAATCAGTTGATGTATTTTCCTAAGTCTGAATCCAACTTGGTATGATAGCTAGATGTTTTGGGCAGGTGATTTCAAGTTGTGAAGACAGGGAGAGTGGGCAGAGGGAAGAGCCATCCTGTCATTAAATAACAAAGGAATTGAGTGACTCACAATTAAGAGCTGACAGTTTATAGACAAAGGGCAAAAAGAATAATAGTATCAAGCGTCTTAGAGACACCCAGTTCAACCCTGCCCATTAGCAGATGAAAAACCCTGTGGGTGGGAGAAGAGAGATGACTGGAACCTTACTCTTCATTAATGGCAGAACCAGCCCTAGAGCAGCATGCAAGTCCCAGTACCAGATGAGACATAAGTGAATGTGTTCCATGTTTACATTTCTTTAGGGAACTTGTTACCACTTTCAGGATTAAAGAAAGGCAAGATGCCCCAAAGTTATAGACATGAGCTGGTCCCAAGAAAAAGTAAAGTACTTGGGTTGGGGGAGGGGGGAGCTTTGTAAATCAGACTTCCACATGTATGAGGAAGAGTACATTTCTCAATTCCGCTTGATATCCTTAGAGAGAGGACACTAGACGTATGTGATAATTTCCACATTGCAATTTAGTCCAGAAGGGGACATTTTTCCAGGTTAAGAATTTAAGAAAATACATTCATTTTAAGAAAATTTTTCATTTTTAGGTTGTTTTCATACCATCTTACAATATTCTTTCTTTTATTCAAAAGATATTTATGGAGCATCTACAGTGAACTAAGGGCATAATGAATAAAATTGAGCCTGCCCCTGCCTGCAGGGAGCTTTTGTCTGTAAATATACTTTCTGGTTTCAGCAGCATGCAAGATAACACTGGAACACTTTCAAACTATTGGCAAATGATACTCTTCATAAGAGTAAAAGTTATGAACCAGGATCACAAGATCCAAGTCTTGAGCAGTTAAGTAACGGCAGAGTTGGATATTTAACCCAAGTCTTTGCCAAATCCTCTGGCACAATTTTCTATTAGCTGGATTATGCTGAGCAAGTCACATAACCTCAGAAGAACTGTTTCCTAAGAAACAATCAAGGTTTGGCAGCAACTTACGTTCTGATTTTTGAACCTTACATTCTGATTTTTATCCTGTCTCTGTGTATTATCCTTCATACTGTAGTTGTAATCACTTTAGGTTTTAGTTGTTTAGAACTGTGGCACCTTCCTATTTTCTTCCTCTACCTTTCCGTTAGAGTGACTTTTTTTTTTTTTTTTTTTTTCAGTACGCGGGCCTCTCACTGTTGTGGCCTCTCCCGTTGCAGAGCACAGGCTCCAGACACACAGACTCAGCGGCCATGGCTCACGGGCCCAGCCGCTCCGTGGCATGTGGGATCTTCCCGGACCGGGGCACGAACCCGTGTCCCCTGCATCGGCAGGCGGACTCTCAACGACTGCACCACCAGGGAAGCCCTAGAGTGACTATTTTTATTAATAGATAAGAAATAAAGCTGTCAAGCCACATTTTGGTCTAACATTCCACACAAAATTCCATAGCTGCCCTAAGACAACAGTGATGTTCTCCTCAGTCCCAGTTTTAGAGGGAAAAATACCTGCTGTTTATCACACTGTGATTTTAAGTAACAGCCCAGGAGAAAGGCACACATCCACAGAGTGTATTTCCTCTTTCATGAGGGGTGCCAGAGAGCCGAGCCTACCCTGGGAAAATTACAGGTCCCTATGATGCACTCTTTTGTACTGAACTTATTTCTGGCACCATTTTTTGCCACCCCTACTTTTGTATTTTTCCTTTTTCCTTCTCACATATTGACAATTCACATCTTCTTGCTCTATTATATGTGGAGTGGACAGATGAATATATAAATATATTATATAATATATAAATATATAAACAATGGTAACCAAAAAGCAAAACAAGCAGGCAAGCGAGATTCTATTCTAAAATACTCACGCTCTGTGTGCTGGCCCCAATATCACTTCTGCCGAGCTAAATCATTAAGCGATAAAACCGTAAAATATTTTCAATAATCAGAGTGCACAGAGTTGCCCAAAAGGTGAATGCCGGGCACCCAGCCTGCAGTCGGGAAAGGGATATCAAAATGGATGTGACAAACATGCCATATGGCATCACTGCTGACAGCAAAAGGGGGAGGGGCAGGAGACTGGGATTTAATGAACACCTACTAGATGCTGAGCACTGGGACAATCATTTCACATACAGTTTAAGGCAGATATTGTTAACTCATTTCATAGGTGAGAAACCCAATGCATTGTTCCCAGTCATGTGGTCAGGAAATGATGGAGCAGAGACCTGAACCAGGACCCACCCCAGGGCCTTTCCATAGATGAACCCTCCAAGTGTACAAAAATTAACAGTGAGAAAGTGCTTGGAGTTTTTTTAAGCAAAAATTTCATAAAGTCCCTCAGGAAGCAGGATGCAAGCCAGACGTTCTGCAGAGTAACTATTTCCCCAAACCCTGAAACAGAGCACCCTGTGCTGCTCTCATCCATATAAAACTTTCATGATGTGCCCCTAGTTTTGATTTATGTGACACATGCCTGAGCTACATAGTGCATAGTACAGATTGTTAGGTTCATATTTTGAAGAAGAACATTAACTGTCTTCCCCTAAAGCATCCAAGACATATCGAGTTTTGATGCTTTTGTTAAAGCTTTCTTTTTTTCAGACGAAGAGATCTTGATTTCTGAGATAATAGTGTATAACGCTAGAAGATTCATAAAAGTGTATGTTGAACCTATTCTTACATTATAAGAGCCTTTTGTAAGATGGGATATGGTTACTTAATATAAGAGCTAAGCAGCTCTCTCGGGGAGCAATGTCTTAAAATTACATTTATGAACCTATTGACTTCCCAGCCTATTTACAAAACTGTACAAATCATGGGGGAAGAGATGTGATGACAAAAAAGACAATATCCTAAATAATGATGTCATTCAGTCTCTGGCCAAGTAAGCTGGATTACTTTGACATCTTGTGTCCTGCTTTCCCAGAGCCCCAGACTGCTAACTACAGGGTTGCACGGAATTTTTAAAGAAATTCATCCCTATTTGAACTCTTCCAAGTATTCAGATACCTGCCCTTGCAATTCTTATAGCCTGCCCTCACCGCAACTCTCTACTTCCTTTGCTTGAGCTCCAGGTACAGGAAACCACAAAGCAGTGTGAGTCAGCTCCATTAACCACAGGTGTCCTTGGCCGTCACTATTGCCCCTTCTCTTCTTCCCTAGTTGTCCCCATTTTCCATTCTAGGCATGCCTTCTAATCTATATCATTCTTCTCAAAACCGCAAAACTACATCTAATGCCACTCACTTGCAGGATATGAGCTTTGTCACCTGTTGACTTGCCCATTCATCCATTTTACAGTCTTTGCGTATGAATTACCTCAAAATCCCTCCCTATATCTCGAAATGCATACAGACACACACACACACACACACACACACACACACACAATAGGTAACCAACAAGGGCCAACTGTACAGCACAGGGAACTCTACTCAATATTTTGTAATAACCCATAAGGGAAAAGAATCTGAAAGAAACAGATAGATATGCATGTATATATAACAGATTCACTTTGTTGTACACCTGAACCTAACACAACACTGTAAATCAACTATACTTCAATTTAAAAAAAGAATAGATAAAATACCATTTACAAGTAAGAAAGCTACATAGGCTCATGGTTCTGTGCTAGATTAACGGAAAATAACCAACTGAATATAAGAAAAGGAAATATCCTGAATCAACCCTAGAGCCCACAGATGGATCCCAGCTACTGCTTAAACTTCCAGAAATATACTGGAAAGAATCAATATGGAAGGCTGGAGAACATTTAAGGCTCAACATTCCCTTCATGTGCAACTGTAATTAGGTGGACAGAAAATAAGTAAATGAGACCCCAATAGACTCACAATGATGCTCCCTGTTCAGAGGGATGACAGCTGGAGTGAACTAAGCCAGGGAGCGTTGGAGTACATTTAAAATACACTCAGCTCCTTAAAAGGGGTTCATGGCTCCAACTGAGCAAGTAATCTCTGGCTGTATTTACTTCTAATTTACATGTGGCCATAATGACTGGCCCAGAAAATATGTCGGAAAAAAGCACTACCAGCTGGCTTTCTGATATGGGCAGCCATGCCAAGTGACAATGATCTTGCTAAATACTGAGTGCCACACCAAATACCTTAAAAAAAAGTCTCTGGTTCTGAGGCAAATGTTCCCTTTGATTACTTCTGGAGCTGATGCTGGCTCTTTTCCTAGGCCTCATAGGAAGATGAATTTCTAACTGGCAAATTTATCTACTATAAAGCTAACCTTTTTCCTTCATCTGGATTTGAGTCAAGCAGTGACTCATTTCAGTCTCTAGAAAGAATGCAGGGCAATACCTGATACTGAATATGCATAGACTTCATTCTCTAAGGATAAGAGACAGAAAAATCCAAATCCACCAGGCAACTGAAAAATATTATGGGGCTCAAGAGAAGGAAGACTACAGAATCAGAGCAAATATTTACTTAAGAAATAGGTACACTACATAAAAGAGAACTTCAGAAAAACATGAGATCAGAAATGAGTCGGCATTAACAAAAAAATTATGAATTATGAACTTGAATGAAGGAAGTCGATCAAGTAGAAAACAGAATAAAAAAGCAGAAAATGGTATTACTGAAGCACAAGATAAACCAGAGCTTTGGGCAGGGCCTACATGACTAAAGATTTCAAAGCTTCCATTCCCAAAACAGAACAGATGAACACAAAGTACTAAAGGAGGAAAGCAGTCATCAATGCTGAAACCAGGAATGGATACATTTATCCTCA